ATGAGGCATTAGCTCGAATCGCACAAAGAGATTCCACTAGTCCACGAATCGCAACCGAAAACAGTCCCCAAAGACATTCAAAACCTAGACTAAGAAGCACGACTTCATGTGAACCTCGCTACGATAGAGTATTTTCACCATTAGGGAGTTCAGTTTCACACAAGTTGAATAATTCAACTTCCAGTATCGGTAATAAGTTATCTTCTAAGAGTCCTATTCGAAATTCTAATTTATCACTAATACCCGACTCGCCAAATATGCTCTCTCCTAACAAAGAAAAATCAAAAACATTGCCGCAAAATCTTATTGCTACATCGCCTATTAGAGGCAGCAGTAGCTCCACATCTATCTTTAGGACGCCTAAAATAACCGTCACACCGGAAAGTCCGAACAAAAGTCCGGGGCGAATGTCCGGACTTAATTTCATCCGTCGATCGCGAAGCACGAAGCTGTCGCGAAGTAACTCCTTGTTACGCAGCATCACTGCAAGGCATATTGAAGAAGGTTTAGACGACAGTGTGGCGGTGGTAACGAACCTTACCGACGATTTTGATAAATTTGTTGACGATAACGGTGGTGAGGCTGAAGTTATCGGAGCTCTGATCAAGAAGAACGAAGCCGAGGTTGCCAACAGCCCGTTGAGTCTGCGTCGAAGCTGTCTCGATGTCGATGACGAAGTCGCTGTACATTCTGGTAAGAATTATACAATCGATTAGTTTACAATATCGGGACACAGTTATATTTCATCTTGTTTTTAAAAGGCAGATGATTTATATGGAATAAGAAATGTTGCAATTCATGATTGGAAGGGCGTTTTAGAAGAACTGTTCCTGAACAACGTTCCTATTATAAGTGACTCAACAGTTTCGTTCTTCATTGTTACTAAACTATTCATTTACTAGACAATAGTTGCTAATTGCGAGACAAAGAGAGGATGGTTCACGGAACATTTCTAACAAGACGTTATGTCAGTATCAGAAGGCACCATTGAAAACACGGTACCAATAAAATCTCTTAAGGTCGTATCTTTCTCATATCAGACATACTAAATATGATATTTTCTCGTTTCTGTTGCAAAGGAAAAAGATAAACCTTATAACTCAATGAATACTATATGAGACAAGGGTCTCCGCATAAATCGTGATTTGCTCTGCTGTTGTGTTGCGGCCGAAATATTTGTTTTGTTAGAAAATATTTTGCGATGTATGTTTTTACGCACTTCTCAGTAGGCCATTGTAACCGTTATTGTGATATATATTCGAAACGCGTTTATATCGATGCGTTTGTTCTTCCTTACAAAAAAGGCGAAACAGTTCATATAACGGAACCTTTTGTTATTTCTAATAGTCAAATTATTTCAATTTGCTAATACTGTGTTCTTAATTTTGTACTAAGATAATCCTTGGCGGCTAAATTAATCGCTTATTTTAATAGACTTATTGCAATTTGTTTTTTTCAAAAGGTTTCAAATATTCAATGCTCTATTATATAGGGGGTCGCGATTGTGAGTGATGAATCTGAACGAATTCAGATACATAAACGTCCTGAGAAAAGATAGATGGATTGTATAAATAACGATATAATAGTAGATTGATTGGCTGTCCATGCAAACAAAGATAAGTCTGTTTACATATTGCGTCATCTAAAGAATAAACTGTAATCGGTAAAAATAAGGAAAAGCACGTAATGTTTTCTTATACAATTTCAGGACTTATATTCAAATATTCCGGAATAATCCTTCTGCGTTGATATCCCATTTGTCTCTTTAGAATATCGCAGTAAGGACGTTATTTCACAAAGGTTATCCGAGTAGAACGGCAAGCGGGCAACGAGACAAGAATAGCAAATGACGATCGCAATTCATCGGGCTTTGTAGGCATTAAATATGACAAAGGGTGCTAACAACTTTACCACCGGCCAATTTTAAATAAGCTTTCGATTGTTACTACACAAAATTAATAGAAACTCTGACATGTTGCACGCAAAGTAAAAAAATGTAGAAAATCAATATCATATCTAAATAAAGACTAGACGAAAAACATTTTTTTATTTGAATTCGACTACATCTTGAAATACCATTCCGCATATTCCAATTATTTATTTATATTTTTAAAGTAAACAATTGCGTAGTACTGGACGGTACAAAGTTATCATTTTTATAACATAAACAAGGAGAGACTTTTACTGATTGTGCGGCGCGGTGTTGCATATCTCGACTGTTGCACGCACTTCCTTGTGGGCGTTTATCAACGTAGCCTTATCAAAGTAAAGCATTCGTTGAACATTCACACACACATTCTAATAGCATTTACGATTTTTCTTTCAATTACCGTTGCGTTAAATTCCACGATGAATAATTCAAGGTTATCTCAGTTATTCCTTTTGTATAATGTTTTCGTAGTAATTTCTTCAAAACAACTTTTTAAAGATTTTTTAAGATGTCTTAATTACGTCTACAAATGAATGAAAATATTGCTGCTGATATGTAGGTCAAGTTTCACGGCGTTGGTTAAATCTTACGTCAGTAATATGATAATTACGAATGCTTTGTATATAGTTTATATAAGTTACTAATTGTTGGCTAAACAAACATCTTTTATTGATAACATAAAACTACCCATCGACAGTTAACCTATAGACCGGGGTACGAATCTCTCTCATTTGAATCTGATGATGTAGAGTCAATTAATTACTAGAATTAGTTATCATATGAAATGACTTAACTGATAAAGAATTGATTCAACAGCTTTTTATTCCCTTTTAAGTATGTACTTAAAAAGTTCTGTCAGCTCTTCAAAGACTTCCTGCGCGGTGTTGCGAGGTTGCAATAATTGCTTTGGAGTGACTCACTTTTACCGGGCACTGTGTAAACTCGTCGGTTTTAGGTCAATGACCTCTTTGAGGGTGCAACCGTCGTTACTTTATCTATTGGCGACATTGTTTAAAGATAGGGGTGTGTCTTTTAGAATGTTTATTAATTCTTTGTCATGCTTACTTGTTTTGTTGTGTTACAAACTTTACATTATGTTACAAATATTTTAGAGAATATTTCGCAAATATACGCCATGTTTTTGGATATTTCGGTTACGTTTATGTAAGGTTCCGTCCGCGTAGAACAAAAGTAAGTAATCTATGTGTTCCCTTTTAATCTATGCCAAATTTAATCGAGATCCGCTCGGCCGTTTAGGCGACAAACTCAAACAAAATCCATCCATCCATATAAACTTTCTCATTTATAGTATTAGTAAAAATCCTACGGCAATGCCTACTTCAATCTTAAATCAGTTTACGTGTTTGGATGTTTGTACAAAGCAATTTGTAAACTAGTAACAGTCGACTACCGTCACTTGATCAGATGGCGCGAACGCGTTGAATGACGAACGATTTTTGTTAGAGCGGGCGTGCCGTAAGTCAAAGTGTGCGACAACTTGACATCCCCTAACGACCACAATAACGTAATGGGTTCGAATCGACATCTGTTGCTTTCCTATAACGATAAAGCAATATGGTCCAGAGAAAGTTTTACAAAACACGTGGCGTGGAAAAGAATGTGTTTTTGTTTCGAAAAACGATTCTGTGTTATTTTATTGTAAATGCAAGCAAATTTCGTGCTACTGTAAAAGTGAAAAACGCCATTACTTTATGCACGCTCTACTTGTAGTTTTTGTTGAAACTATGAGTTATTGTTTTTTTTTGTTACTATTTGTATAAATAGAAGATACTTTTTACAAAACATATTTTGTCAATATAGAATTAACTAGCTTTCGCCCGCGACTCCATTCGCGTGGAATTACAATTAAGTAAGTAGCCCATGTTTTCTTCCAGACTATGTTTTACAACTATGCCAAATTTTATAGAGATTCGTTCAACCGTTTAGGCTTTAAACTCTAACAAACATCCGTCCATTCATCCAAACTTTCGCATTTATAATATAATATTATATTATATTAAGTAAGAAAAACTAAAATAAAACACCGGATAACCATAACATACATGCAAAAATCGTGAAATGTTAATTTTCTACATAATAACACTATTACTCAAATTACATAGTTTACGATAAAAATCTCCCGGTCGCCAAACGTAAAAATTTACTACGATTTTTCGTGTCACATTCAATCAATGTCTTTTCGGCAAACAAGCTTTATTTTGATAGAAGAAAGAATTGCGTGTTCGTATTTTTCCTATGCTAATGCGAAGGATGAAATATTCGTGTTGTTACCTAATCAAATGTTGCCAAGGTGATGCTCGGCAAAAACATGACCTCTAATCTTGTACATTGTAATATCTGGATAAAGGTTTCTTGTATATGAAAGAAATCTGTGAAAATGTAAATTATTGACTGACTTTTGTCTATTGGGTATATTGCCACCAATATGATTTGCAGATTTAAACCCGAATTGGGCTTCAGCTACCGACACGTTCATACTAACAATATTGTCAACTACATCATCAAAAAATTGAACATTTAAAACCATGCCATATACGGATATTAAGTTAAATAAACAATTTAGCGAAAACATTTGAGTCATCGGTAATTTGATTCATTATATTCCGCACATTTGTTAACTAAAACTACGTAAAATGTTAACCCATTTGTTGATTCAGCGCTTTCTAGGAACTGCATTTGAACCGGACCATTAGTTTACCTATTTGTATAAAATTCGCAATACTTTACGTTAGTACTTTTTCCAAATAACAAATAACTCACAATAAATACATTTTCATATTAAAATTTTCACCGTTGATACTTTTTACACGACAAGCATCTTTGGTTGCCTTATTTGTAAGGAAACATGACAGATAAAATATATTTTTGAATAAATTTTTCGGTTATAACCACGACCAATGGTTAAAAAGACATCTAAGTGACATGTAATCATTAGAATAAAGAAACTATGGACTCGTTAAATGAAGATTGTGTAAGTGCTACGTGTATGCAAATGTAATTGCAGTTGCTGGTGTTACAATAAAAGTATATCGTTATATTATTTACAAAACATTCAAGGTTCTAACGTTTGTTGGCGCATGCGCAACGGTCACGGGCAGCGTGCGTGCAACTTCCGCCGGAAGCCACGCCACAACACTTGGTGCTGCATCGATATATGTTATAGAATTCAATTGTTTTATAATATAGTATAAGTACACCAAGATATTGTATGTTACAAAATGTTTACCTCTTTGGAACCATTCTTCAGAATAATAAATACAGTTAATAAATCATACAACACGCCTCTTCTGTTGTTTAAATAATTTCGTTTTCGCCTTTAATTTAAGAAGTCTCTAGTCCGTCGCAGATTTAATTCCGTTAGGAATTTCCTACGCGTACCAAATAGCGGCAATTCATTATTTACTAGATTCCTGTGGTTAAATCCATGCAGTAAAATTGTCACATTCATACGTCGTTTTCCTCTAATGCCCAGTTTTGTAGACAAAGAGGCGTCAATGCCGAGAATTGAAAACCGCGTGATTGTTTTCATTTTATATGACTACATAAATCAGTTATTATTGAGTACTCTAGAGCGATGGCAGTAATGCAAGTTCTGTTCAATAAATTGTCCAGGATTCATAACAATGCATATGAGTGGATCCAAATAAAGTTTATGAAATGTAAGTGTGTATGTGCGTTGTGGGCGGAATGTTTTCAGCACTATGTACGTATTATAAATATTGTAGAAAAAATACATTGTGCGTATCGCCTCACATAGAAAGGCGCAGAATGGTCCTCCCACAAAATATACTGACGAATTCATGTTTTGTTTGCTTTTTGCATCTTTTTTCACAACTCTACGTCCAGCAATTGTTTACGCTTACTATAATAGATATATTTTATTTCCAGACACATCATATGAGAAAGCATGTCGGCGGGGCTCGGCACCGAGCACGCCGGTGCCGGGTGCGCAGGCGCAGCACAGCCCCTCGCGGCTCGCCTCCTTCTTCTTCTCGAAGCGATCGTTCAGAAGCAACCCGCTCAAAAGGACCAAGTCAGCTACGAAGCTGGAAAGAGAAAGAGCGCTGGCTGCTGTCCCCACACATCCTCCGACACACGCACTACGGACCTCAAGGTATGAGATTTTTGTATTTTAAATTACCGTAGCTTGCATAATGAATTTTTTTTTCATGTGTCTATGGTTAAAACTACATACCAATTTTGATCACGTCTAATGTGTCTATTGCTAATATTACCTACTCGAACTCCCAATGTGGGCGCATTTCTATTTTGATCCCATATGGGAGGCGAATGTGTCCGTCTAGCGATGTGTCGTTTGCTCGTTTATCACTCCAACTAATAAACTGTCACGACTCAATGTCTGCTATCACGGTATGTTTAAAAAAACAGATTGGATCTATATGCTAGAATTTAAAATCATGTCATCGTAAAAGTTTTATATAACTTTGGTCCTCTAGTCTTGTAAAGCGAACCCCTAAAAGAAAACTAATTCACCCTTTTTAAAGCAAAATGCTAATTTAATTACATAAACCTCTTCATTGTCCTCTCAACTATTTCCATAGCTTCAATATCTTTTTCTAAACACAATAGAGTATTAACTGTGAATAAGCAATCAAAGTATCGCTTACCTAATTCATTTAGCAGTATCGTGACTAAAAGGAATTATCCAGACGGGGTGTTAGGAGTGTCGCTGGCGAGTGGCGAACCCTCATTAGCTGAGTATACTGACGGCGAATTACTTGATTGTGACGTCTTTATTACCTATAGCTAATTACAATCGACGCTGTTAATTGCGAAGGCTCGTCTGATAATTTAATCCGGTTCATTGAATAGCGTCAATATGATTTTCATTGTTATTGCATATTGTATTACGTAAAGTATTGCATGTTAAAATAGCTTATGTTTTATTTGAATAGACTAGGTGCTGTCTGTAATAAATTTTATCTATGACTAATTATGGTTTGCCCATTAGAGAGTTAATGAGTTAACCCCTCAGGTAGTTAAAGTTATGTTTAGGTACATAAGATTCTATTAGTTTTCTGCCTCGAGTAGAACGCCATGTTATTAATGTATTTGTTTCAAATTGTTCGTTGACATATTAGGATATGTTTTTACGTTATCTGGTACTTATAGATTGTTGTTTTTTTATTTCAGATCTCATGAAAGTCTACTGTCAGCACACTCACCCGCCGTATCCACTATGGATTTGGGACCACCAAATCAAGTACGTATAACTATAGCTGCATAGTGTATAAGTAATTGTACCTATTGATAACTTCTAAAATAGATTCGAAATCGTTTTAGTTTAGAGTTAAATAACCTCAATAACTTACGGTGTTCTCGGTTAATTTGCTTCCGCATACAAAGATGCGTTTACGTGCATACCGATCGTTATAAGATGTAAATCTTGTTTACCTTACTTTCCATATAACATTCCGTTTACGTTCGCCATAAATCGTTGCGAGCGTGACGCATTCAAAGCACGTATGTACTAGGAGTGCATGCATTCGCAGGTAGAAATCCGTGCGCTGCACTCGTCGGTGTTGGGCCGCGCGCACTGCTTCGCGCTCAGCGCAGAGAACAGAGCACCGCGGTACTTCGCCTGTGCCTCGAGGAAGGAACGCGATCGCTGGATATACAGGTCGGTTTATGTCGCCCTAGTAACCCCCTTTTATTGATAAACAAACTTAAGTGTATTTCTAACAGGTTTTTTGGTGTTGGGTTAATCTTTGATAACCTTTAGGTTCTTTCATTTGTAAATAATAACTTTATTTTATATATTATATTTTCGTTTCAAAAAGTAGAGTGTAAATTATCATATTACGTTATATAGAACTAGATTTCAGACGATTAAAACGTAATATGGACAATAATAGATATATAATATTATTATCGAAAATTAAAGTATTCGATGCAACCTAAATAATATGGTTACTAAGCGATACACAAAGTTATAACACAAACATAATGTGGAATGTCATCATCATTACTTAACCAAAGTGCGTGTAGAAGTCGTTTGCATGCAGTATTAAATTGCGCCTCGCGTCATTCGAGACGCATATTCGCATTAATAACGTGTTTTTTATACTCGTTTCCACAGCCTACGGCAAGCGGCGCGACCGGACGAGATGCGTACACGACGATGCGAGCGCACCGTCAAACTGTGGCTCCTAGAGGCCAAGGCCATACCGCCCAAGAAACGATACTACTGCGAAATACTGCTCGACGATACGCTCTATGCAAGGTATTTAATTATGCATGCACTATTTATCAATGAAGTCTGTTCTGGTGTGGAAGGAAAATCGACGAATGAAAAGAAGTAAACATACTTTTTTTAATGCAATGAAGTTTTTTTTTTACAAAATGGATGTTTTAATGATGTAATTTTAAAACTCATTCATTATAATATACGGATTATCTTTGCGAAGATATAAAAAGACCAGACATCATAAAACATTGCCTTATGACAAAGTCGAAGTAAAACTGAGTAACATTTTACAAAAAAAGTAACGCAATGTTTTATTGTTTTCAGGTCGTCGTCGAAGTTGAAGACGGAGCTGTGCTTCTGGGGCGAGGTGTACGAATTCGGCGCTTTACCCGCAGTACGCAATATTCACGTCAATGTGTACCGCGAGCCGGAGCGGCGCGCGCGCAAGCGGGACAAACACGCGCTAGTCGGTACGTACAACTATCGACACAACGTAAACTGATAGAAACTCTCTCCCTAGCATGTGTTGCTATAGAAAACAACTAACAGTATACATTAATGTTTTTTTTTTAATTTTTAGACCTTAATTTTACTTGATAACAGCTATATATCGCATTCCATGACACACATCCCTTGCTCAATTCATGTCCTGTTTTATTGTAACCATGTCATCCTTATCATGTATAATTTAAATGTTTAAAAATAAAAAAAATGTCTGATATCGTAAGTACGGACGTATATGCTTTCTGTTTAATTAAATACTTCGTGTCTCATGTTATATCTTGTTATTCCTTTTGTCGAGTACGACTATATAATAAAATTTTATATTATCCAGGAACTGTCCGCATCCCTGTGGATGACGTGTCGTCCCGCTACTTGAACGAGCGCTG